TGGAGCAGGAGGTGCCACCACAAGACCAGCAGCAGCAGCAGCCACCGCCGCAGCAAGAGCAGCAGCAGGTGGCGGAAGAAGTGACCAAAAAACCCGTCGTAATGGTTTACGAGGAGCCGCCGCCGATGGCGATGCCGAGTCACATTGCAATGGAGACGCGGGAGCCTTCACCGCCGGTGCGTCATCATGAACCTCCTGGGGAGACGGTAATCGGGCCTCACGCGGAAGGTATTCCGGCGCCGGGGTTCTCACCGGAAATAAGAAGAATGCAGATGGGCGGCCGTCCGATGTGCGGAGAGAGAGCGAAGATTCTACGGAGACCTGCGAATGGAGATTATTCCCCTAGAATTATCCCCGGGAAGTTCGCCGGAGATACGTCGGAGAGAATTGCAGCATACGATTTGGTCGAGCCTATGAAGTATTTGTTCATCCGAATTGTAAAAGCACGTGGGCTGGCCCAGAATGAAAATCCTTGTGTGAAAATTCGCACTTCAGGCCATATTGTACAGTCCAAACCGGCGATGAATCGACCAGGCGACTCATCTGCAAATCCTGAGTGGCACCAGGTTTTCGCCATAGCCTACAATAAAGAAAATACAGCAAATTGCCCACTCGAAATATCAATTTGGGACGGCTCGTCGGAGAAATTCCTTGGCGGGGTGTGTTTCGACCTCTCTGATGTACCGGTCCGGGACCCACCGGATAGCCCGTTGGCACCGCAATGGTACCATCTCGAAGGCGGTGCAATCGATGATCCAAACAGAGAAGTTTCCGGTGATTTACAGCTCTCTGTTTGGATTGGAACTCAAGCAGATGATGCATTTCCTGAATCATGTGGCCCTGATGCTCCATCACCACTTGTATCTTATTCGCGCCCAAAAGTTTATCAGTCACCAAAACTTTGGTACTTGAGAGTGACAGTTATTGAAGCTCAGGATCTTCATTTAACACCGAATCTTCCTCCGTTAACTGCACCGGAGATTCGTGTGAATGGTCAGCTCGGGTTTCAGTCGGTTCGGACTCGACGGGGTTCAATGAACCACCATACTTCTGCATTTCACTGGAATGAGGATCTAATGCTTGTTGCAGGGGAGCCACTTGAAGATAGTCTCATTTTGCTAGTGGAGGATCGGACAGGGAAAGACCCAATGCTGCTTGGGCATGTCCTGATTCCTATCGGGTCTATCGAGCAACGATTGGACGAGCGCCACGTGCCAGCCAAGTGGTATGGTCTTGAAGGTGGGCCGGGTGGCAATGGATCCTATTGTGGGAGGCTACATTTGAGGATGTGCTTGGAAGGAGGGTACCATGTTCTTGATGAAGCAGCTCATCTTTGCAGTGATTTTACACCCACCGCCAAGCAGCTGTGGAAGCCTGCAGTTGGGGTTTTGGAGCTTGGAATACTCGGTGCTCGTGGCCTACTACCGATGAAATCCAAGGGCAATGGGAAAGGGTCTACTGATGCTTATAGTGTTGCCAAGTATGGGAAGAAATGGGTTCGAACCCGGACTATTACAGATAGCTTTGATCCTAGGTGGAACGAGCAATACACATGGCAAGTGTATGATCCTTGCACGGTCCTGACCATTGGTGTGTTCGACAATTGGCGTATGTTTGCAGAGGCAGGGGAGGATAAGTCAGATTATCGTATAGGAAAAGTACGTATACGAGTTTCTACCTTGCAGAGTAACAAGGTGTACATGAATTCATATCCTTTGATGGTGTTGTTGAGAACAGGGTTGAAGAAGATGGGGGAGATTGAGTTGGCGATTCGGTTTGCATGTCCTTCGATGCTGCCCGATACATGTGGTATTTATGGGCAACCTTTGCTTCCCAGAATGCACTATCTCCGCCCCCTTGGCGTGGCTCAGCAGGAGGCATTGCGTGGTGCTGCTACCAAAATGGTGGCTGCATGGTTGGCTAGGTCCGAGCCACCATTAGGGTCGGAGGTTGTTAGGTACATGTTAGACGCAGACTCGCATACTTGGAGTATGCGGAAAAGTAAGGCTAATTGGTTCCGAATAGTGGCCGTACTTTCTTGGGCAGTTGGGTTGGCAAAATGGTTGGATCATATACGACGGTGGAGGAATCCGGTTACCACCATATTAGTCCATGTTCTGTACCTAGTTCTAGTATGGTACCCGGATTTGATTGTCCCAACGGGATTCTTGTACGTGTTTCTAATAGGCGTTTGGTATTATCGGTTTAGGCCTAAAATACCAGCAGGCATGGATGTCAAAATATCTCAAGCTGAAACGGTAGATCAGGATGAACTGGACGAAGAAATGGATACAATGCCAAGTTCAAGACCGCCTGAAATTATTCGTGTTCGTTACGACAGATTGAGAATATTAGCAGCAAGAGTTCAAACAGTTTTGGGAGACTTTGCAACACAAGGTGAAAGGGTCCAGGCCCTGGTCAGCTGGAGGGACCCCCGGGCCTCAAAATTGTTCATTGGAGTGTGCTTCATAATCACGGTGGTTTTGTACACTGTGCCGCCCAAAATGGTGGCGGTGGCCCTTGGATTCTACTTCCTACGCCACCCGATGTTTAGGGACCCCATGCCCCCTGCTAGTTTGAATTTTTTCAGAAGGCTTCCCAGTTTGTCTGATAGGTTACTGTAGTGTAGGCAGAAATTTGACAACAAATTTTCACATTGTGGAATCTCAGTGGAGAAATGGTTCGAGGTGCGAAACAGCTTGTTGAACATTTTTTTCCCAGAAAAGAAGGTTTTGATTATTAATTATAATAACCTCGGAAGAAGTGAAAAGGGCAATAAAAAATGGGGCCTTTTTTGCGTTTTGAGTTCATTGACTAACTGTTGAAATAAGGAAAAGAGAGAAAAAAGCTGAGCTTGAGGGAAAGAAAAACTTGAAATGACAGAATTCATGCTGTAATTTTGTCGTTTAAAGCATTAACAGTTATTTGTAATCATATTTACTTTGTTGTATGCACAGTTTTTCAATATATGAATTGAGTTTCGCAAATAAGCCCACCTGTTATATGGAAGTATTCATTTAAAAAAGGGGGGAAAACGTTCTATCACTTAACAAGATTTGAACTTTTCTTCGTTCTTTATACCAAATCAATATTATATGCCAAACACATTATGGCGAGTCTAAAAATAGTTTCATTGTCCCATCGAGTAGAGAAAAATAGTTTACCCGACCCGATTAGACAGACTAAATAGAGGTGCACGTGAATTAGCTATCATGTGTTTTCTGTGGCTAGGAATGAAAGTGACTGGCTCATATGGACCAAGGACTTGATTGAAAATGCATAAATTACGGGCATTCACATTTCTAGCAAAATCAATGCAAAGCCAGCCATTTCTATTGTGCTTTATTTATATCCATTGTTTAATTGTGATTAAAAATGGTCATAGATACAACATTCAACCACTCAAAATCATTATTTAAGTTGAACATAACAGACAGAGATTGTACACTCTCATTACAAGCCCAAAGATTAAGATTTCAGGTACATAAATTCCCTTTTAAGTACAGCATTTTGGAAGTTTTAGAAGCAAAAATACTGTGCTAATTATTGTAATATAGAACAAACAGGCTAATCTTTCTCCACACATGCTATGATACAAGTGAATATCATGTTAATTTGCATCGTAAGAGGATTCTGTAGGTACGGGACGACATTAGGCATGATCGGGGCACGTGCTAGTGCAACCGATGCAGATTTACACCTCTAAGCGTAACATATAGAAGCATTGATCTATGTATGTTTGCATCAATGTGCACAGATATGTAATGAACCCCCTTACAGTTTCTATTTTCACAGCTGATCTTTTCTTCTATTTGTGTTGTTAGAGCAGTAAGAGGACAATCAAGAGTCCACAAGCACTCAGTACTTAGGATGGGAGAGACAGAGGAATCACGAAAACATGATGCTGAAACCAAAGTTGAAACAGAAGAGAAGCATGAAAAGAAAGAGAAAGAGAAAGAGAAGCACGAGGATGAGGACAAGAAAGGAGAAAAAGGTGCAGAGAAAGCCAAAGACAAGAAAAAGAAAGATAAGGGTGACAAAGAGAAGAAGAAGAATCCTGAAGATAAGAAGGACCCGGCGAAATTAAGAGCCAAATTGGAGAAGATTGATAGCAAAATGCAGGCTCTGGTGATTAAGAAAGACGAAATTTTAAAGCTAATCAATGAAGCAGAAAAGGAAGCAGCAAATCTAAGCACCCCACCTGCCGTTGCGTAAAATACTCCAATGATACGTAGATATAGAGCATGTCTGGTAAAAATAGTTGCTTTTTTATAAGCTGGGTTTACCAAAATTCGTAAGACCACCTTATAAGCTAGATAAGTTGGAAATCTAGCTTAGAAGTTGGGCTTATGGATTTGGTCCAAACAATTTGCGGGACCCATCTCATAGGAAAACAAATATTTTTGCCAAACACGTTCATAATCAGGAGTTGATACTATAATTTACAAGGTTTTAGCTTCTTTTTTCTTCTTCAATACCGTTAACTCTATCCAAACACACAGCATGAGTTTAAGGGCATCCTGTTTACTTAGTTATTTCGTTCGAGGATGTAATATTTGGTAGTAGGATATGGAACTGCACCAATGTGAGTAATTACTCAAATAGAAGGCAATATATAATCAGAATTCAGACTCCAAAAATGATGCATTAGTTATTCAATCTTGATTCTTGTTGTAAAGATGCGAAAAAATTAAAAAGAAATTAAGCGCATTTAAAATGAACCAGGAATTACCTTTAATCAAGTTTTTGTGCAGCAGATCAAGTCGGTAAATCCGGCTCGGTTCCTGGAAAGATATGTGATAGATGAACAAAGTCGAGAAAACAAATTTCTCATAAAATGAGAATTAGACCAACCAATACCTCTAGTAGTTCATTTATTTAAACAAAGAAAATAGAATATCCACAAAATCAAGCGAAAAACAGATTTACCAACACCACGAAATTTTAGGCAATATAGACAAATCTTGTTTCAGTCAGAATTTCTAAAACCAACGGATAAGTTAAGATAGATTATGATGGGAAGCCTGAAGAAGTCCATCGCGAATCTGAGTTGCCACATCACGAACTGCACCAGGTCCGTGGGGTATGAACACAGCAGAAGACTTGGAGGTAGCACCTATTTCTTTCATTGTATCGAAGTACTGAGTTACGAGAACCATATCCATAACATCCTTTGCAGTTGTTCCAGGAACGTTAACTGAGAAACCTAATACACTGTCTCTTAAACCGTCCACAATTGCCTGACGCTGGCGAGCAATACCCAATCCTGCCAGATATTTAGACTCCGCTTCACCTTCAGCTCTCTTAATTTGCAAAATCTTTTCAGCCTCAGCCTTCTCATTAGCAGCTAACCTTAGCCTAGCAGCTGTAAAAAGTTTAAAAATAGTCACGAACTGAAATGGTTGAATGTGGATTATGTCCTTATAACTGAAAACCTTTTTCCCCTTCCGTTCCCTTCTTATTTCTCCTCTAAATACACATTATATCCCTATTGATATATGGATATTCTAATTTACTATACGTTCTTTCCAGTAATGGATGTACTATACATCTTAAAAAGGGACTATTTGATAGCATTTCTACAGCAATCTTTAGCATCCAAGAATTTAAGAATGTTCAAATTATTCAAGTGAAGGGACTATTATGTCCTTGGAAATCGTGTATGGAAAAGAATTGAGTATTTGAGCAGGATTCAGTACTTTGGCCTAATAATAGACACGTATGGTACAACTTACCAGCATTGATTTCATTCATTGCCCTCTTAACATGTTCGTCTGGTTCTATGTCGACAATTAGAGTCTGAACAATTTCATAACCATAAGCAGACATAGCCTATAAGAAATGAACAAGCACAATCAGAACTAATTAAAGAATTAGGTTCATCAACATAAATCAGCATCACAACAGAACAGACGTTACCTTCTCAAGTTCATCTTCAACAGCCTTTGCAATTTCATTTTTTTGCTCAAAAGCATCATCAAGATAGAGTTTTGGAACACTTGCTCTTATCACTGAACAAATGGAGACACCAAACAAATTTCAGATAAAACCGAACACAAATCAAAATAAATCTCAATCTATACAAAGAACCAGAAATTTCAAGTGCAAGTTTATGCATGTACCATCAAAGACATAGGCCTGAATTTGGGTTCTTGTGTTGCTAAGTTTGTAGAAAGCATCACCTGCCTTGTCTGAAAGGGCACGGTATTGAATTGATGCCACTACATTGACAAATACGTTGTCCTAAAGACCAGTAATTATACAAACCAATTAATTTTGTTGAATTAGACTTGATCGTGCAAACACCAAGGCTTTGATATAATGGTAACATTATGCTGAAGAAACGGACCTTTGTCTTGGTTTCACAGCGTACATCCAATTGCTGCAGACGAAGGGAGAGTTTGCCAGCAAGCTGGCTTCCAAGAAACCAAGGCAAGCAATGGCACCCTGGTTCAAGTACTTCATCAAATTTGCCAAAACGCTCCTTAATGGCAACTGTAGATTGATCCACTTGTACACAACACAATAAGTTGCCCATGTCCTACACAAATTGAGAAAGAACAGTACCAAATCCCAATTTTTTACTTCTTCTTTAATAATGATCTACCAGAAATTTGAACTCAAAACAAAATAAAATAAAAACCGATTTCGAAAGTACCAGCATAAAGAAATCTGTTAGCTAATTCATTTCAACCTTAAAATCTAACAGTTCTAGTATTAGAGAGAATTTCGCGTTTGAATATAACAAAAACATGATAAGGGGAAAAGTATAACTCAGTTCAACAAAGTATTTCCAGTTTCTTATGAACTCCAAATCTTTCAAAAAGAAGCCCTTAAACTATTCGTGATCGATAACATATTTGAAAGAAGAGAAACTAGAAATTGGGTTCTTATAAATGCGTTTTTTATCCCAAAAATTCAAATTTCTGATGAACTTGCAGAATCTTTATGGACCCCCAACAACCATTTTCAAATCAATTCACGTTAACACATATACCGAATAACACAGATAATTCATACACAGAGAAATTCAGGAAAAAAACAAGCGCGCGCGCACAGAGATCCTTAAGCCCTGTATATGTTGATGATTTACAACACAATTGAAAGAATTCTAATGGTGAAACTAGAAAGTGGGATCTTGTTCATGCTCTTTTCAACCCCAAAAAATAAAACTTCAAGAATCTTTAGCGACACAACAAACATGTTTAACTCAATTCTTAAAAACATACACCCAATAACATAGATACATCATATACAGAGAGAGGGAGAAAAAACACACAGAGACTTACAGTTTGTCAAGGCAAGAAATAATAGAAGTTCAGTAGGGTGTGAACTCCGTGTGTAATTTATATATATAGGGCCTGTTTGGTACAGCTTTTCATTTTCTACAGTAAATCAATTCTCATTTTCAACCACACATTCTTCAATAAAATAATATTTTTCATCACATCAATAATTTTTTCTTCTTTTTCAACCACACATTTCCCATCATATCACTATTCAAAAATCAATTCTTCCCCCCAAAATCTCTACCAAACACACTCTAAGACGGGTATGATCTCCTGGCAAATTCCCTGTACGTGTAGCTCATTCATAATATTTCTATTATTTATTATTAAAGTCATTAATTTTTTACTAAAATTTGATTTTAATTTGAGGGCGGACTATTTGTCGCGAGGAAATATTTGTTTATAGAATTGAGGATATGAGTTCATGAATAAGATTGTGAATTGATTTGAAAATATCAAATGTCTTTATTACTTGTTATTCAAGGTATTAATGGATAAGTATTATTGATAAAAATCATTAACTATATATTGTTGATAAAGGTAGATCGAGAGTCGGTCCGATCTACAATAAAAAATAATAATTAAAAGTTTATTTAAAAAAAAAAACAGAAATTATAAATTGGAGAAATTTCACTCAACTCATCTGATAAAGGTTAATTGAAAAGATCTTCAGGTCTTTTTTTAATGTAATCGACGAAAAGGTCAAGTTGATTGGATTTGATCTTTAGCCCATTGTTTTAAGTTTAAACAAGAAAGAGGCATTGTATTGGACATTTCAAAGACAATGACTTTATATGGAAGTTATTTTGGATAAATAAGCCCTAATCTTTATTAAAATATTGCTAGCCAATACCAAAAATAATTAATAATTCTTATTTATACTAAAGAATTTAATAAAAATAATTGATGATCAATCGTATAAATAATTTCAGTACAATAATTTCCAAAATATATTTTTTCTCTCTTCTTTTTAACTACACATTATTCAATAAAATAATATTATAAGCAAACTCAAATTTTTTTCTTTATTTTTAACCACACATTTTTCATCGATCTATCATTTCAAAATGCATTTTTAACCAAAAAAAAAAAGGGACTCAAACAGACATAAAATATAAATGCAAATG